GTCCTGTGGTCTCAGCCTCAGATACTTATCAAATCACACAAAGCTCTTGTAGAAACAAACAAACAAATGAACAAAATATGTTCTCCTTCATTTCTGTCAAACAAAGTTGTATGACACGTTTCTAGCGGTTAGTGTCATGGTTGCTAGGCAACCTGGGAAGCGCGACTGAGACTAGACCGTCCCATACAGACAAACTTGCCGTTTATTTTGCAAATAGAGCTCAACACTGCCCCTAGCGTCCTGGAGCACTTCCGTTGTGTTTTGGAGTTTGTACGTGTTTTGGAGTTTGCAAGTGTTTTTGAGTTTGCAAGTGTTTTGGAGTTTGCAAGTGTTTTGGAGTTTGTACGTGCTTTGTCTCTAGGGGCCACCGTAAATTAACCCATAAAATGACCAATAACCTATGATCCTGTGTTTTCCTAAACACACATTAGTCTCTTTTCTCTCTTACCACAACATCTCATGTTACTTTTATCTCAGTACTGTCTTTTTCTCACAGTGTCATTATCCTTACTTCAAAGCTTCACTTTATTCTCAAGAATTTAGTTTTACCACTACTGAGCCAATTTAATAGTTAAGATCATCCACTCAGCGAACAGATAATTTAGAATTCAGCCAATATGCACAAATTTGCTTTTTGAACAGGTCTGTGCCTACCTTTAAATCTCTTTAGACCGGTCTTCTGTTCGCCTCATATCAGATCCAACCTTCGGCCACATTTGTTCTCTCTGTTGCACGAAGAACCGGGCGGAAACACCAAATATTAACCCCGATTCTTTTGTCCCCATGACAGAACAGAGAAAACCGACTCATAGTGTGTTAAAACATTTATATTTCTTTTATTCAATCACCTTCCGGAAGAGAGAGACCCCTGCACAGCTCAAACGCCAGTTGCAAGAGCTCTAACATTTTTAGCTCAACATGTGTCTCATATGGTGTTATTTCTGTACTTCAGACGTCACACAGTTTCAAACATTGCTTATATGGAAAGTTCCTCTTTTCTGTGTCTTAGCTATTAATATGGCTGTGCACTAAAACTTCCTGTTTTTCAGTCTGGCCGAGCACTTAGTTTGTGAGTCAAAAGTGGCCTTGCTTTACAAGCCTTCATTATTAAAGTACATAAAACAATCTAATAGGAAAATAAGGATATTGATTTCATGACACTTGTATTATTGCACCTTCTGATATTCTTTTTGATTTTTTTTCAGGAACAAGAGAAAGTGGTTTAATGGTTTAACAAATTTTCAGGGAGGAATAGGTGACAATGACACAATCAGACTTAACCACCTTTGCCAAGGTCACAATGTT